AATTTATCCCTATATTCAATTTAAACTTCAATATAATATTTTGAAATCGTTATGAAACCTAATCACAATCACTCCAAACCAAATAATAACAGTTTCCAAACCAAATAATAACATTTAAGGGCTTGATTGTTTATGAAATAATTTGTTCAAATTGAGTTATTTTGGTTAACTATAGTTAATTTTGAAAAAGGTGGTATGGTTGGTTGTAGTGGAATTTTAAGAATGTATTAAAATAATATTTAAAATAAAATAATTAAAATTGATTTGATGTAAAAGTAAGAGATAAATGATTGAAAATGTGAAAATGATATGTAGTTAAAATTATGTGAGTGGATGAATAGTGAATTAAAGTTGATGTGATGTGTAAGAATGATTGGTTTGTATTATTTAATTATATGAATAATATTAAAGATAGTGAGGTTGGATTAAAGTTGAGTTAGATTTTAAGTTGAAATAAAAGTGAGTAAATTATTTTGTAAACAATCACCCCCTAAATCGCTTGACTTTCTTTGAATTGAACTGAACCATAAAAATAATTAGTATGGTTTTTGAAAATTTCACAAATATTCGTATCAAGAACCAAACTAAATTGTCTTAAAATGGTATGAAAGGTTAAAGAATGTTTTTTTTAAAGAAAGAACAATATTATATTTTGTTTAAACTTTAATTTTCAATATTAATTGCACAAATTTAATTTTAACTAAAATTTAAAATAAGAAGATTTTGTTTGAATTTTAAATTTTCAATACTAGTTACACAAATTTAATTCTAACTAAAATTTAGAGTTACTTCTAAAGTTAATTTCAAAAATAAAATCATTAATATGAACCACCATTTACGCATGTTGGTTTCTTAAAGCATTTAATAACAAAAATTTAAAGGTACTTTTAAAGTTGATTCCCAAATAAAATCTTCAATATGATAAAATATTGATGAATGTTGTTTTCTTTAAAGCATATAAAAATTAAAATATAACTAGCTAGCCATTCAAAAAAAAAATTAAAAAACAAGAAATCTCCGATGGTCTGAATCGAACCATACCAAACCGACAAGGCCATAATAGCAGAACTCGTGACTTGCAAAGGAAAATTCCCTATTTTAGGCTGCATTTGAATCTACTATTTGAGGGTTGTAAAATATTGAACGAATTAAATTCGCTAAGATTCGAATCATTTTTTGTTGGAAAAAGTCGAGATATAAGATAAACAAAAGGTATTATTCACTTTATTCAATAACGGGGCAAAATGAAGGAAAGTTCTCCATTTTTCATTGAATCACAATTAGTTATTTAATCCTTTACAAATACACAAAAAAAAAATGGTCACACTTTGGACACAAAAGATCACATATTGGGATACACAACTCTTGTGAGATATAATAAAAGTTTATATCTTCAAGTTCTATATATGCATTCAAATAAAACGGAAGTTCGATCCTACTCGTCCGGGTAGTGTCCACACGAGCTTCTTTACTGTTAAGTAATTCCGTGTGGATAGTCGAATACTATCAAAGCGGCGGTAAGATGAAATTCACCCAAATAAAATAACCCGAAGTAAAACAAATTAGAAAGCACATAAAACCTCCAAATCACAACACCCTTTCACTTGAGAATTCAGAAACAAGTTCAATATTCTACCGATTTTTAGGGATAAAATTTTGGCTAACATTATAGACCCGGGGGGGGAAAAAAAAAAAGGCTTACGAAATCAAGTATTCTTGGAGGCAGGAAGAGCAGTTTCAATATTTGAAGGCATTAATATGTTAAAGCCATCAGCAGCTGTGGATATGATCATCCCAGGTATCTGTGAATGCCAGTGAAGTTCTTTCAAATCCTTTTGACCCTGCAAAATGTATTAACAATAACATCCAGCTCGAGAAAAATGAAGGCTTGGGCTTCTATTTTCCAGCCCGCCAACAATAATACACTTTTATTTATCGAGTATATGTGCTGGGCCTGGGCCTTAAAAATGGTGGCCAGAGCAGATTTTGAGCCAGCCCAACCCAGCTGTAAAGGTTGGCCCATTGCCCATTGCCCATTGCCACCTTCTACATCCGAATATAAGATAATAAAAAGCTCGAGGGAGAAGGTGATTGTACATTTCAAAAGATAATCTGGGGTCCTTTTGTAGTAAGAGAAAATTACACGGGTAATTTTTCTAAACGATACTCAGCAAAAAGAATGTGAATTTGGGTAGATATTAATACCTGATGAACAAAGAGAAGCTGAGGTGGCAAATCAGTGGGGGCATCGACTGTTTCTTTAGTCGTGGCTTTGAACTCAGCCTCCTCTTCTTCATCTCTCTCCAAGGAAAGGTCCCATATTCTGCAGTTTAAAAAAAATGTGCAAAAAAATTGAACGAAAAAAAAAACAAGTTAAGACAGGACATTAACTATTTAATGAAAAAAAAAAAGTTGTATGGAGAATATAGTTACGTCAGTTGATTGTCGGATGAAGTTACAGCCAATGTGGAGGCCTCGTGTGGGCTCCACTCTATGGATGTGATGGGGTGTTTATGGTACTCAAAATGTGCAACTACAGAGTCTCCTTCCTGTGCGACAAAATTAGCAAGTTTAAACAGTGTCGACTTATTGAAACAAGGCAAAGGAGCAAATTTTTTTTTATAAAAAGTAAAAGAAAAAATACGATTAAGATGTTTATTTACCACCCATTAATTGGTACCTTGAGCAATCTAAGATCTCGAATTGAAAATGTCCCATCATCACTACCGGATGCTAGCATACAGCTCGCCAGGCTTAGGGTAATAAAAAGAGAATTATAAACGACGATGCTTAAAATAAAAGTAAGAAAAAAAAGAGTGACTTAACTAAAAGATAATCAAATGTTGTATTAACACCTGTTCCATGTTATGACATTTACATCAGCTTTATGTGCTTTGATCGAAACTGCAGGTGATTTTCCCAAACGAATATCCCAAATCACAATATTTCCATCGACTGAGCATGAGGCGAAGACAAATGGTTCTGTTGGACTCCACTGAAAAACTAAGTAGTTAACCATCGATACAGTATTTTTCTCACATATATATTTTTTTTAATGAAAAACTAAAGGATACAATAACACTCCTTACATTTCGGTATCTGCGCACAAACCAATGGAATATTTGGAATAAAAAATTCGCACTCTGAATCAATTATCAATCTATTAATTTTCTCTTCATAAGCAAAGAAATTTGCGAAAGAGACGCCTAACATTCCATCAATATATTCAGAACTATTTTTTGTCGGGTTATTCAGAACTTTCTTTGTGGTTTTTTTTGCACTTGTATCAAAACTCAGGGGTAATTTCCATAATTATTCTAAAAAAAAGGAGCACAAATGTGATGTACACCTGTAAATCTTCGACACTTGCAGTATGACCAACAAAGGGACTCGCATCAATATTCCACGTACAATCAGATGCGGGTTCCCACAGATGAATATTACTCTTGCAATCCCCTGCACGAAAAAGCAGAATCCAAGAACATAACTCAAAAGAAATGCTTTGGGAAGAAGCTGTACAGAAAATAAAACGAAAGGCTTCGAGCTAACTCATACCCGACACAAATCTTCCAGCGACAAGAGGACTCCAATCCATGGCATAACCTTCATCTTTGTGTCCAGCAAATTTGAATATAGGAGCTTGATTTGGATCAGTGTGTTGGGAACGGATAGCTTCAGCTTCTGATTCTACCAAAGTCTTCAATTGTGAGCTCAAATCCCACATCTGTCAAACGCGTCAAATTGGGAGATTTACAATATTAGAGCTGCATAAGATATTTATTTTCTAGACTAATATTTTCGCGTTATATCAGGGAAAAAAATCACTTTAACTTGACACGGTATCCAATTATCATGAACCCTAATTAAAATATTCATCATCCAGAAGAATTAACTTCGGAGTACTTGAAAAACAAATATTAAAACATCAAAGTCCATAAAACTTCATAGCTCTTATTTCCTTTATACACATGTGTAAATACCTAAACAAAAACCATAATAGCATAATAAATGCCATACTCGCCTGAACATGACCCGTATCTGCCCAAGAAGCACAAATATGAGGATTTTGGCGCATAGCACGTATGCGGTTCACGCCTCCTACATGAGGGATCTTTCGTAACTGCAAATACATTAATAAATGATATAAAATTGAACAAAAAATCATTAAGAAAAAAAAAAAAAAAA